AAGACTTTCAAATGAAAATTAATGATCGATCAATATGGCACAAAAATTGAGGTAATACTTTACTACCTCTTTATGCTTTATGAAACATGTTGATATTACTTGTGAAAGCTTCAAATAGTTTTAATTTTTGAATTCAAACACATTTTTTACCTGAGAAATTGTTATCAAAAAGATCTATGTATACAAGAGAAGTCAGAGTTCCAATAACCGATGAAATTTCACCTGAAACATATAATTAAATTCGTCAAAAGTTATCTATAATTTTCTAACTCTTTGTTGAGCACTATAGGGATCTATTTTCCATTTCTTTTCTTTTATTCTTAAATGTGAACTTATATTGTCAAGCAAAAAGAAAAATTGTACAAGAAAAGACAAAATAAGTATAATATTATACCTTTTAAATTGTTACCAGAAAGGTCAATCTTCTTAAGAGAAATAATGTTTCCAATAACATATGGAATTTCACCTTAAATATAAAATCAAATATGTCAAAAATACGGTAGAAATTTATTAATATTTTTTTCTAGCAAATCCTTAATTTCTTTGTTCAGCACTAGAGAATCTGTTTCTTTTCTTTCTTTTTCTAAACATGAAAATACTATTCAATTTTTTTACCATTTATGAAAGCTCCAAATAGTAACTCAATTTTATAAATTTAGTGGCAAATAAAAGTTCATCCATCCAAGGTTTGAGATATAATATTGACAACGATTATCATACTTCAATATCTAAACAATTGTTCATAAAAAATTAAAAAAATTAAACGAGTCATTTAGCTTACCTGAGAAGTTGTTTCCTTCAATGATGAAAGTCTCGAGTGAAGTTAAATTTGAAATTTCTAATGGCACAGTCCCCTCTAAATGATTATGACCCAAATATATATATTCTAACTCTTTGCATTTGAATAAGCTCATTGGAATTTTTCCAGAAAGTTGACATCCACCCAAATCAAGATAAATTAATCGAGGAAGGTAATCAAACATATTGGAGGAGAGAGAAATAGAGAATTTGTTTTGTTGTCCTAACGCAATATGTTGCAAAGAGGAAATGTTGAAGATCGAGGAAGGAATACGACCTGCCCTACATATCATTTAGAACCAATTTGTTGGAAAATGTTGAAAAATAATAAAAAGCAACTGAAACTAAAAATAAGTAATTGTTTACCTTTGAGATTGTTGTAACTGAGATACAAGAATTTGAGCTTAGTCAAATTTCCAATTTCTATAGGAATACTTCCCTCAAAAGAGTTGCTATACAATGATAACATCGTCAATTCCTTACAATTGAATACATTATTTGGAATTCTACCTGAAATTTGATTTCCTTCTAAGTCGAGTACTTGCAATTTCGAAAGGTTGTCAAACATTCTTTGTAACCCCCTCAGACCGATGCGGGTAACCCGATCCGATCTGAGATGTCACATTAGGGCCACCGGAGCGACCCACTGTAAAAATAGCGGAAAATTTTAAACTTTTATTAAACATGTAACTTATAAAATCATTTATCAGTATTCATAAATAAAACATATTTCCAAACTCGTATATAAAACAAAATACAATTACATGCCTCCTAATCACATGTATCATACTCTGAAAACAACACCGGAAGAACCCCCTTACTGATGTCGATAGCTACAGTGATACAATTCTTTTAACCTACAATGGTGAGTAATAGAGTGAGCTTTGGAAAGCTCAGTAATACAAAACTACCAGATGATGCTGAAGAACGTACAGATACAGATAAATATATAATTTACATATCCATGGTTGATTCCTTATTGATTCTGAACATCTACAGATTCTATACTGAGCGGAGATCCTACTGATATTTCAGGGTAACGAACAATGAGCTTTCAGGTCAGAAAAGTGTTTCGGATGTCTAGGTTTAGGAGATCAAAATATGTTATCTAGTGTGTTCCCGCAAAACCAGTGAAAGGATACATATCTTTTTAAAACATATTTTTAAACATTTAGAAATCATAGTAATTCCCTCAACCGCACACGTTCATAATGTGTAGGTTTCCTAGAACCATACAACCCCGGCACAACAGTAAAGTCCTGAGCACACAGCTGAGGAGCCTTCATATATTCTTCCTCCAACAATAACCCCCCAAATAAAACATTTATCAAAAACCATAGTAAATCCCCCAACCGAACACATCATAATGTGTAGGTTCCCCAGAACCATACAACCCCGACACAACAATTAGGCCCTGAGCACAAAGCCGAGGAGCCTGCATATATTCTTCCTCCAACAATACCCCCAAATAAAACATTTTTCCATCAATAAACGGAGATATCAAAAATCAAAACAGAATTCATATCATATATCAGATATCATATATCAAAACATAATCCAGATCAGAAATCAGAACATAGTTCAGAATCAGAAATCAGAACATATTTCAAATCGGAAATCAGATAAAATATTCATATGATTAGGGAACACACCAGAGTTTACGAATATTAGTTAGAGGTACTGGATAATCTTATCAGGCAGAGAAACACAGATCTTCAGTATGTCGATAGAATGTTGGAATTTAGAATCACTATTGAAAGAGATCAATAACTGATGGAATCATTAGTTATTCAGAATGTGATTTATCGAGATCATATCTTATTCAGACATTTTTCGGAAGTTGTACGTAATCAGAAGAGTATTCAGAATCTTTACATCTGAGTTACTTGTGTTTCAGATATGACCAGAGTAATTTGGATAATAAGGAAGAACGAAGATTCATGACCTTTACAATCTATGTCGATTGATCGGATTATCGAACAACTCGAGATGAACAACTCACAGAACTGATGCTTGCTAATTGGTCAATTCACCTTCAAGGGTATTTACTCTTTAATACCAAATATTCTTGTCCATAGATCAATTTCTGAGTCCTCACTGAACAGATCTTAAGGAGACGAACAAATATTCTAATAGTATTTATTTCATTTCCATGTTTTAACTATACCAAGAAATGTCGACGTACTTGATTTATGGTTCATAATCCATAGGGATGATACATCATGTAAGTTCATCCGAATTTCCAAGCTTATCCCAATCATTTACTTAATCCTCAATCCTTGAGGTTACTTAGTTCATTTAGCAGTCAAGTCCATTCCAGTTACTTCGGAGTTTTCCAGAGTAATTCTCTTCATGTATTTACTCATAACTCGGATATTTTCGGGTCAAGTGCCTTCTCAGATTTTACAAACGGAATATCAGGAATTTTCTGCATTAAGACAAGATCTTAACAATCAAATCCGTACTTAATCGAGTTAAGTACGAATCCTCAAAGTACTTTCTCATTCAGGGTCAACCCAGACTATTTTACCTCTCAAGGGCATTTTCATAATTTCTTAACCAAATAATTTCGATATTAGCTCTTAACAAAAATAATTATAATTTAAAGATCCTATGGTTAATTGCTTTCCCGAATATTCTCTGATCTTGAAATGATTCCTTAACAGACTTCTAGTATATTGCATAAACTCTCTTCGGGTTAAAAATCGGTTATCTGCATTTCCTAAGCAAAACTAACATTTCTTATGACATCAGTAATTTTACCGGATCAATATGTCTTTTCAGAGTTATTTACCAACTTCCAGGGACAATTCTTGTCATCTTACAACATAAGGGTAATTTCGTAATTTTACCCAACCAGAGTATTCTCCTAATTTCTCATCCAAGTATCTTTAATATTTAACGTTTGTTGATATAAAATATAAATTACAAATCCAATGCCGATTTCTTTATCACTAATCACAAAACTTGTAATTTAATTCTAACAATCCCTCAATCTCTTATATTAGTCATTCGATCCGTATTCATTTACCGAATTTCTACCACATTCATATCGAGTGTATAAATTAATCAACTCCACAAAAGTGACCAACATTATCTTATTCATGCATTTACCAATATCATGTTACATAAAGCATAAAGAGGTAGCAAAGTATTACCTCAATTTTCGTGCAATATTGATCGACCATAAAAATTCCATTCGAACGCCTTTGATCTTCAAATCATCTTCCAATATTTCCTCGAATCCATATAAACAGAAATTACATAAAAAACGGAGCTTAATTCTGAAAAACGGATCGAATCGGATGATAAATCAGTCAAAAATAGCTTACCGGGTTCGAATTTGGTGAAACCGACTTCAGATTCGGATTCAAGACGTCAAAAGCATAAAATATGACTTTTCGAAAATTTGGAATTTTAGTCAAAATCAAAGTCAACGGGTTTGACCGGAAATTTCATGGTCTTCGGGTTCGAACTTCAAAAAACGGACAGAGGAATCGGATTTGGAACGTCGAGAAATGTCAGGATAGGTATACTCGGTCAAAGTCAAAGGTCGTTTAATGCCCGGTTAAAGCCCGTTAAAGTTTTAGTCAACTTTGGTCAACGGTCAACAGTCAACGGTCAACGAGTCGGGTCAACGGGTCGGTTTGGTCAACGGGTCGGGTTGGGTCAACTGGTCGGGTCGTGTAAACGGGTCGGGTCGGGTTGTGACCGGTCAAAACAGTTCCAAAACCGGTCAAACCCGTCACTTTTTTCCTTCCCCACGCGCAGTGCGGCGCGTGAACAGTACCCTGATGTCGGAAAATTCTCGGAAAAATTTCTAAAAATTATTTTAAGCGATTTCGAGATACTTACAAAGCTCGGTTCACAATTTTGAACAGCGGAGAACTCGATTTCAACAAATCGGAAACTTTGACCGCTTCACCTCCTCACGCGCCGCCGTCGACGGAGACCAAGGATGACACTAGCAGACTCGGAACGATACAAGGAACACGATGGTGCGGGAGGTGTCGTAAAAGGATGACCGGATCGTCGTGAATCGACGAAAAACCAATTGAAATCGAGTTATTACTGACGATACTTCCGACTGAAATTAACGACGAACGACGATGATTCACGACGAAAGGTTTGAGGGGTTTTGTTCCTCGCTCGACAACGAACACGATGGTGGTTTCGGCTCGTCGATCGGAGGTCGGACGGCGAGTAGATCGGAGTTCAAAGAGGGGTTGACGGGAAAGGGAAAACTGGAAAATTTCTCTGGAAAAACTTGCGCACGGGGTTTTATAATTCAACCTATATAAAAAAGGGTAAACCAAGAGTTTAGTCACTGAACTTTATGCATTTCATAAAATGGTCTTCAAACTTTAAAATCTTACAACTTAATCCCGATTTCTTCCAAAAATACCAATTAATTTCACCACTTTATAATTTCTTAAATTTAGCCCCTAAATTGGGGTGTTACATTCTTGATGGTAGATGACCTGCAATGAGATTGATAGCTGTAAAATCAACTTCTTTTTTTTAGTAATGAGAGTATATTTCAAGTCATAGGAATCTGACCTTTGAGACTGTTTTCATACAAGCTCAACGTTTCTAGTTCTGACAAATTGCCTACGGTGGATGGGATAACTCCAGTGAAGCTGTTATCGTACAACCACAAGTCTTGAAGTTCATGAAAGTAACCAAACCATGATGGGATTTCTCCATCGAAGTTGTTGTTACCAAAGTTCAAATACTTCAGCCGATGCAAATTAGTTAACTCGATGAGTAAAGAGCCATGGAAACTATTGTCACTTACGTCGAGCGAGGCCAGGAAAGATAAATTTCCCAAGTGAGATGGGATGGTGCCTGTGAGATCCATACTTGACAAATCCAGAGCAGTGATTCTATGGTGTTTGGACCCACATGTGACACCAATCCAAGTACAAACAGAGATAGAAGTGGACCAATTGGTTCCTAAGAGATTGTGTGGATCATGAGTTATATGGGATTTTAAGGCTAAAAGGGCGGATTCATCAGTGGTGATGTTGACAGAGAAAGTAGCCCTAAGGATTGCAAATAGTAACAGAAACATAAGAGGAGCGAGGAAGGGAGTTTTTGCCATAAGGTTGGGTGTGAGAATAATGCAAATCATGAACAGAGAAACAGCAGAGTTAGAATGGTATTCTTTGGTAAAGGCACAACTTATAGCATAGAATTGAGACTTCGCATTAAATTGTTTTGGAAATGGTCGTATAAATGATTAATTGCGTTAGTCAAGGTCGTTGCAACTTGCTAATACATTGATTGAGCAGCAGCTAGGGATCACAAGCCTCTCTTTCTTTTTTAAATAACATGGTCCCAATGTCTGCATGATTTCAAGTGCGATGCTATCACCATTAAAAGTGTCCTTTCCCAATCCCCTAGGTGTTGGTTGTATTAAGTCAAGGTCTTTGGCATTTACATAAAAAAAAGTATCTATCCATGTTTAATATCATAAATGGACAAAAGATATACATGTGACAAATTCATGGTTAAGTGTTACAATCATAACTCAAAATAATTTTGTACTGTATATAATTAATCTAAATATAATTTTAGTCAAACTAAATTAAATACAATTTATTTTAGTGGTTGAGTGTTACAATTATAACACAAGTCATTCAAAGTCATATATGACTCTAGAAAAAAACTTATCGATTAAGCCAATATAAATATAATAAAAGGTGCATATAACATAATGTGTATATAATCTTTAATTTAAAATTTAATAACAATTATATATATATATATATATATATATATTAGTGTGTGTGTGTTTGACGTTAAAAATGAATAAATGAAATATCAAACTTATTTAGTAAATATTAGTTTAAATTACATCAATGGTCATCAAACTTTTGGGGTGTTTGTATTTTGATCTTTGAACTCATAAAACTCGCAATACAATCATTAATCTTTTAATTAAATTTCATTACGATTATTTTTATCGACTTCCATTAAAATATACTGATGTAACATATTACAGTCATTTTTCCTATAAAAAAACTTTATCCAACAGGAATAATAATATTCAAAACACCTCAAATTATTCAATAGTCTAACTTAAACAACTTTATCCAAACTTTGCAAATTATATATATATATAAAAGCTTATCCATTAAAATTGCAAGAACCAATTATCTGCAAAAATTGATATTACCATAATCTAAGTATCTTTCTTTAAATCTTGTCAAAAAACACGATTTCACACATCACCTTTGGGTTAAAAGTAATAGCTTAGCCTAAATTACTACCAATCAAATAGTATTTCGACACTACTTCAAAAATATATTGTATTTTAAATTAATATAACATCATTTATTTTTATCCTCGTCATTATATTAATAAAATGAGTTAAAATGGAACTAACAACCGATTAGTTTAATGAGATAAAGCATTATATCCTTTAAGTAAAGTTAGGATTTCAAATTCTGACGATTGTGAATGGAGCAAATTAAATTGAAAGGATTTCTCCCCATAATAAACCTATAGAAAATTCGATCTGAATAGTTTGATTAACTGATTCGATAACGGTGATTAAAAAAGGGGTAAACTATGCAAATAGTCCCTTTTGTTTAGGGTCTGTCTGACTTTGATAACCAATTTAAAAATAAAAGATAAATGGTTCTTAACATTATCGGCATGTCTAATTTAAGTCCCTTCGTTGTTAACCCTTAACGAATATGTGACATACCTGAGGGACTAAAATCGAACGGGAACTAACGGCCGAGGGCCTAAAATCAAATGGATCGGTAACGTTAGAGACTAAAATCGAATGTATCAATAACATTAGGGACCATGTAGCCTTAATTTTTAAATTGGTGACCAAAATCCGTCAAACTAAAAACAAAGGGGACTTTCATATAGTTTACCAAACAAAAAAATAGTTAAAAATGAAGCCTAGAGTAAATATGTTTTGGTCTCCCGAGTCAAAGAATCTGGAATCTACCACGTGGGCAATTCTGAAATCATTGCTTCAAATAAAATCTAAATTTTATTATTATATAATAATTAATTAATTAAGAGAATCAGGTTCAGCTGGCTTCGCTTTCCTGCTTCCTTAAACCAGAAATAGACCCTCCATTTCTTCAAATAAGAAATATAAATTCTGGAAAATTTGGAATTTATTAGAGGAAGAGAAAAATAGAGATATGAGGATACATGCGACTTGTGCGTGTAGCGGAGGCGAAGGTGCTGTGCTGCTCCGACGAGGCGGCGCTGTGTTTGGAGTGCGACGAGAAAGCCCACGCCGCGAACAAGTTGGCCAGCAAACATCATCGTGTTCCCCTCTCTTCTTCTCACATGCCTAAATGTGACATTTGCCAGGTACTTTAATTTCCCCTGGATTTTCCCCCCTGTTTGCTTATAGTTGTTTTTATGTGAGAGGTAAGGTGGAGTTTGGATTGAATTCGATTTTCTTTAGTTGATTTAGCTTAATTACCAAGGGAAATTATGGTTATACTGAGAGAAGCAAGAAAAATTGGGGGAAGCCTATCGTCGTTGAATTTGAAGATCTTTACTTTCATGAAATTCTATGAACGAGCTAAAATTCAATTTGTATTTAATACTAAGAGGTGATTACAAGGTAGTTTCTGTTCACGATCCTTATTAACCATGAACAATGGACACACACAATACAGATGTGGCTCCAAACCGCAATCTCTAGGGAGAAAACACTCCGAGGCCGTTTGGGTTCTAAAATTCAATTTTCGAATTGTTGCTTTTGGGACTATAATTTAGGATTGATTTCTATTTCTTCCTTAAAATAACAATTGTATCTGTTTCGTGCATTTATGTACTGTTCATGAAATTTTCTCATTTTATGACTGTGTTTAAGGGTATTTATATATAATTATAGTGTCTTGTTCATGAATTTCTGGTATTATGATGGTGTTTAAGTTGTATATTGCTATACATACAGCAAATCCTTATGTCTCTAGTCACCAAAGATTGTGCTTACTGGAGTAAAGGTTGGTCTTGAACATCAAC